GTATAAACTCCAGTATGTACCCCGAAGCCCCATCGAATCCTTAATTTAAGGAACCTGTAAAGAAACCACAAACCCTTTTCTAGTTATTGGGGGCCTTGTTCCATCATGGTATATCAAACCGCGAAACCCCAAGCCCAATTATTCAGGGCCCCATATAGCTGTAGCTTCAAACTAAAGCTGCCTTATAGCGGGATAGTACTACTACGTAATTTTCAGACCTCCGTAAAATGAGGCGTGAAGGCTTCCGTGTTTTTGTGGTTTGGGGAGTGTTGCCATCTAGAGTGCGGTTCGGGGGCGAAGCAACTGTGCTTTGGGCGCCAGGCCTTCAGATGTCCAGTTCTTCGTACGCTTCAAAGTCTTTGGGTTGTACCGAGTATGCCTCAAAAATCAAACTCCTACTCGTGCTATCTGAGGCTATCTGTGAGGTGTGAGTCGTCTGTCAGGTTTGGAAACCCAAACATCCTAAGACTAATGCCGGCCTGCTGCACAAAGGCGCGGGTGGCCATGATTGCGAGATCTACGGTGCCCCGCGAGGGGCAGCTGAAGCCTAAATCCACCTACAGTACAATAAAGCAGTATGGGTCACAGGCCGGGTGAAGCAAGGACTCAGAATCTCGATCGAATGCTTCGTCGCAGTCTTTGCGGCGCTGGCTGGCACAGCGATGGGTAAGTTCGTGCGCTTTGCCATGAAAGCTGAGCCAGAAACACAAACTGCCGGCGCCGGAAAATGACGTGGACTTCCAACATCTTCCAACGATACTCACTGATAAGGTGGCATTGTGTTGCCATGCAGATAGAACAAACATGGCAGCGTGTGGCGTGGATGGAACAGACACGGCCTTAGGCTATGACGGCTGTGACTGCCTAAGCCGGGAGGCTCTCCATCAAAAAGATGATGCTTCAGAGAAAACCTACTCATCATGAAAGCCTTGCTGTACTAGCTTACTAGCTGCGAGGCTTGATGCACGAAACCCGCCCGGCCTGTCACCAACTGTGCTAGACTTGCTAGGCGCTAAGCCCTAAGCCCTAGGCACCCAGGACCAACCCCCTAGCGGGCAGCGTGCTGGACTCCTTGAACTCCACGTGCTTTGCCTGGAGTCGTTCGCATGGTAGGCTCTGGCTGCATTATTATAAAGTCTCTGCTTTCGTGCGGGCACAGCGGGCTTAGAGAACATGCTAATCTCGGCTTCCCCTGTAAGTAGATCATACAAAACAAGCGCAGCTTGTGGTAGGCTTCGCTTTGGCCTTGTGTCGTAAATCACCTTTTTGACATGTAAGCATATAGGGACGAGGGTTTAAAACTTAGAAGGATGGGTTCTTCGTCAGCGCCCTGTACGAACGACTCAAAGGGGACTCAAAAGAAATGGCAGTCAAAACCCTAATCGGCCTCCAGCACTCAAACATCGTGCATCATCAGTTCTCACAGACCCAGGCTTATCCCCAATGCCTGATGCTGCATACCCGACTTGCTAAACCACCCTACAAGATCGAAGCCCGTCGAAACGCTAACAATAGAACCCTGAAGCCCTCACACCTCAAAATTTGAGATCGAACCCTGATCCCCGGACTCGAAGCCCCAAAATCCTCCAACTCTAAACCCAAACCCTGGTCCTCAAGTTCCAGAAAAAACCGCCAGAACAAACCCCAAACGCTGCATGCTTGGGCTGCGACGTGCCAGCCCTGGAGGTCCTTTTGCCACTTCTGCCACCTTTCAGGGTTCCTTAAAGGGATCCCATCAGGGATCTTTGGGGTTTAGGGTTTATGAGAGCTTCCGAAAATTAGGGGTACCGTATTTTGGGGCCTTCACAATAAGGGTCCTACTATTTCGGGTACTATATTAGGGTCCCCTGTTTTCGGAAACTCCCAGGTGGCGGCTTTCTGGGTTCGGCTCGTCTTGCGTTAGTTCTCCTCATCAAGGCTCTCGGGGTTATAGGCTTAGACTTTAGGGTTGAAAGAGATTTAAGACTCCGAAGCCGGGGTTCGAGATGTACGGCTGATGATAGAAATCCTGCATCACCTTAAGGACCCTAAGCTATGGGAATTATGGTGTATTCCTTATTATGGGTAATGCAGGCTTTATATCATCAACCGTATTGAGGGTTTCGGGATCGCTGCCGGCATAAATACTCCGCTGCAGTTGGATGGGAGACCTTGAAGCGGAACTCCCCGCTCAGAAGCGCTTCTTGCGGATTTATCCGGTTCAGGGCTCAGGGACTGACACTCTGAACTTGACTTCCTTAGGGTCAGGGGATTACGCCAGTTTGCTTCGAAGCCAGAGCTTCACCCGAAAAAACATGTGGCCAAGCCAGTCACGCCTCAGATCCAAATCTCAAAGACCGCAGATGGACACCACTGTCTGAGAATTCTAGGTCAAGTTTTCGTGCTTTCGGGTTAACCGACATGGTTTTCACATGATCTCCTGCTTGTGAGGAATAACATCCGGCCCCTATTCCGATTGCATGTCTGCTTGCGGGCCCTCAACCCGTATTAAACTTAAAAGACGAAATTGCAGACAACAGCTACGTGCGACCATAAAGACCTGAAGCCTCAAAACCTTCAATCCCGGTGCATTGAACGAACGTCTCAAACAAAAACAGAGACAAAGGTTCACCATCTCTGAAGGTATGGTATCACCGCACCCTCAAGCCCATCATCTGCCTCTTGTCATGGTAGTCCCTAAACCTACCGAAGTGCCCGAGACCGCCACTTCTCTTTGAACCACTCGCTCGGCTGGAGGTCCTCGATGCGCCTCTGTTCGGCCGGTTGAGCTACGCTTTCGTCGTTTTGGCGTCCTTGTCCTGGGTTCTACAGAGGTTTCTGATTTCTGTACGGCTGGACTGGGGCTCTATGAGGCCTTCGAAATTTGTGGGTTCTTTCTCTTGGGAGGTTCACGAAGTGTGGCAGGGTTCAAACAGCTCCTGTTTTCGTGTGGCGCTGGTTGTGAGGCTTACCGCTGAAGCGGCTTCGGTTGTTCAGGGGGTTCGGGTTTGCTTGGTGCCTTCAACCAATGGGGCAGCTCTACACATGCCTCGCAAGGCTTACATCGAACCCTATATACCTAATTCCATTAGTAAGATGGCCTGCGAACCCTTTTCTGCGGTGCGGGGGCTTTGGATAGACGGGCTTGCGTCCCCGGGGGCCAGGAAAACAAGGGGTTTGCGAGCCACGAGCCCAATGTCTAGCACCGTAGCAGCGCAAGCCTAGATCTCGCTAGCTGAGGGCTGATATAGGGTTTCGGGAGGAGGGTGGAAGGCTTCGTGTGTGTGTGTGTGTGTGTGTGTGTGTGTGTGTGTGTGTGTGTGTGTGTGTGTGTGTGTGTGTGTGTGTGTGTGTGTGTGTGTGTGTGTGTGTGTGTGTGTGTGTGTGTGTGTGTGTGTGTGTGTGTGTGTGCGCGTGCAGTGAACCTTCGCCCAATGCCTGGAACTGGATCTCGAGACGTCTGCCAAGCATCACAAATCTTACCTGTGGTTAGTAGGAAATGGAAGAATGGTAGTCATAGTTATAATTGTACCCCATTCCTCCATTCCCTACTAACCATGCAAAGGTAAGAAATGCTGAGAGCCCGGCGTGGTCAACTTGTGCTCTTGGATCCACCTGGGCGCAGCTGCAAGTCGCTCCACCCAACTGCCTTGCCAACGATCAGAAGATTGAAATGGCTTCAATAACCCTCATACAAGGCAGAACTTATAAGCTAACCTGATCCTTATAAGGCCTGTAGGGATTGAGTGAATTGAGGCTCACGACATCTGCTGCAGAGGCTACCCTGCCGGAAGAACGTCAGCGGCAACTCCCTCGACGAGGATCCGGTCTTGATTCGGACTTTTTGGTGTTCGGATCGAGTTGGCACGCTGAAGAGCGCCTTAGACTCAGAGCCGGCTCTAGGAATATGGAAGTTTCCGACAATAGGGGACCCTAATATAGTACCCTTAATGGTAGGATCCTTATTATAAGGACCCCCAAAGAAGGTACCCCGAATTTTCGGAAACTCCCATATAGACGATCCTCATCCAGAAGCCAGTAAAGCAAGAACAGCACATGTCTTTGGGCGCGGTAGTGCGTATGCTGAACTCCGCACGCAAACGAGGTGTTACAGCAGATCCCCAAAACCCAAAACAGATTCAGATGGGCCCGTTAAGAGCAGGATCATGTATCAGCAGGACGGCTAACCAAGGTATCAAAAATATATTCACAAACCCTGTATACGTGTAGGAAAGATGGCTCAGCTCTGGCTGAAGGCTTAAAGCTTCCACTGAGGGGAATCAAGCTTAAGGTGGAGGACTGCGGCTTCAGGCTAAGGAAGCTAGACTCATATGGCTCAGGGATCTTTAGGCTTCGAATCTCACAGTCGTGCGACGAAGGCAAGGCAAGGCTGGGGTTGATGGTTCTGTTTGCTCGGGCAGCCACTGTCGCAAGTAGTCGTTGACGGCGACCGGGCTTTGCCATGGGTAGAGCACCTGCACATGAGCCCAGGCAACTTCTTATTGTCGATGTTTTGGGGCTGGGTGCCGTAAATTGTCATAGGGTGCTGGGTGCACGGGATTAGGATCAAGCCTGAATGATGGGAATCAAGCCTGCCCTGGTCAAAGCCCTTGTAAACTGTACTGACTTGGGGGCCCAGAAGACTCGGCAAACTGTTTTCAGTGCAGGGTTCAAGGATTTGGTTCGTGCGCTGACATCAAAAAATTACCACACTCAGCTTTTGAGTTGTGGGTTCTGGCTTTGGAACATTTAGAAGCACCAGCAGTTTTTCAGGATGGAGTACGGATGAGTTGGGGTGTCGGGTATTGTGCATGGATTGGGATCGTGGGCTCAATTTCTTCCAGCCCGACGGGTCACCAATTACACTTTTTCAGACACGATCCCGCCTTTGTTTCCTCTTTGAGTGGACTAACTAAACTTCAAGTTAACCCTAAGCCCGAAAACAATTTCGAGCATGGGCTCCTGAACAAAACCCCTGCACCCCTGAAACCGGAACCCCAATCAAGCTATACCAACTCTTATTAGGAAGAGAGCTGGAAAGCCTCATCGAAGCCCTCGGAGGGATCTGGAACGGAGAAGTCGGCGAAGCAAGCGCCTGAGACTGCTGAGGTATCTCTAACACTTTCGGATTCTTGGTGCAGGCTTAAGTCTTCCCACCCACCCACCAGACCGTGAGGCTTCGGATGTAGGCTAAGACATCAAAGTATACAGCCAACAACCCCTGCAGGATGGCTACATGAGGTAAGCAAGGTATCGTCGGCGTTTCATGGTTTAGAGATTAAGGCCCTGGGACGGAATTATGTTGGGACTTTGGACGAAACACGGCCAGGCGAGGGTCCCAGGAAAAAAAACGAACCCTCTCCTGGCTGTGCCTAGGCTTCGGGTTTAGGGATGTAGGGGTAGGGGTTGATGGGCTTTAAGCGTTAGGGCTTTGGGCTTTCGGGTTTTCGGTTTTAGCGGTTGAGACTGCTGTCACCCGACACGGGAGGTCTGGGACCCACACGGCGGGGTGCGTGATACGGGCAGCAAGCGGGACAGTGCGACTGTAAACGGTCTTCAGGTTTGGAATGTTCGGGCTTATATGCTTTTTTAGGGCTGCGCCGTCTGGTGAGTATGTGTTGAGTGGGTAAGGAGCTGCAGTTTAAGTCGCAGCGTGTAGCACTACGGCTTGCTGCAGAATCTCTAGTGTGGCAGTCGGTATCCAAGCTATGGTGAATGCTAGAGGTGCTGACCTAGGATTAAACCTAAATTCAAATTCATGTTCAAATCTAGGTGAACAAACAAATAAAGCACATACTTTGGCTCCCGCATGGCTATATATATATATATATATATATATATATATATATGTTTGCAAGTATGCATGTACACACTGACAGAGTAGTCACAGCAACAAGCAAGCGTCCAATGGCGGGCCCAATCCCCGGCTGTAAGAACTCGACTCAGGGCCGATGGGGCCAGGTCCGGGACGGCATCCAGCCTGGATTATATATATATATATATACACACACACACATACATACCATGCCTTAATGTTATATGGCGCAAAATATACAGGATCTTTTGTGTCATAAATGATACGCAATATAGCACATGCTGTATATAATAAACCGTATATAACCTGCCATATGCTATATATGTCCCGAGCTTCCGGTCTCTAGGGCTTATAGGCTTGGTAAAGGTTTCGTAAAGGTTGTATAGGGCTTGAGCCTTCATGGAAGGGTTTCGGGTCTATGGGCGGTGTGTAGGTTGCAGGGTTGGGGTCGAGGGCTTCAGGTTTTTTCTTTCGGAATTGGGGTTGAGGGCTGTCTAGGCTTTAGGTGGGGAAATTTCACGGTTTCAGCGATTATCTTTCGGACTTCTACGGCGTTCGCGGCTTAAAGTCTCGAGTTTGCGGTGTCCTTCGTGCTAAGGCCTTGCGGCTGAGGACCCTGGTATCTGGTATCGGATGCATTTTGGAACTATAAGGGCCATAGTTTATTTGAATGGGGTTTTGGAGTATATTTTGGTTCAACTATAAAGGGCCTCAACCGCATGCGACTGGGTTCCCTTTGCGATTATATTTCACCATCTCCACCAGTGTTGCAGGATACTGTCCTTGCAGGAGTCCCACCTACCCCTAAACCGAAACCACGAACTCTTCAATCACCCGGAAAAAAGCCAGGACGGTGTATAGGGTTGACGGTTGACTGGCAGCACACTATGTAGGCAACGGGCTTCCATGCCAGGAAATTCAGAAAACCATCCGAGGCGACAGCCGTTTGTGCCACTGCTTCTTGTCCTGTCGTTCAAGTCTTCTTGGTGGTTTGGATTGTGGGTCTGCCCTTGGAGTCCTGCAAGACTCAGTGTGCGCTTCGTGAGCATATGCTGCAAGACAAGATGACAAGTAATCACTTACTAGCGGAGGGAAGCCTCTCTCGGTCCAGGGCTTCCCGTTGTGTGTTGAGGGTATCGGCGATGTTAGTTGGGACTCATCTACGTGAGGTTGCACAGTTTGTTTGCAGTTCAGGGATTGAGAACGGAGAGTGGCATAATGGAAGGCAAATAGTTGGTGCTGAGGTGGACTGAACATTCCCTCCTGCTTCCTGAGCAACCCAGCAATCCCTCAAACCTCAGGCCAAGATCCTGTAAATCGCCAAAACCTGAAATCCTGAAAGCCTGCCTTCATTGCATACCGTATATCTAAAAGCTGTAAGTCGGGATCATGTCCTCTTCTGTCAGCTCCACCCTCGGCGGCTCGCCATCACCATCAACCTTCCAATCTATGGTTCTAACTCGCTCTATCTCTCTCTCGCTCCCTCCCTCCCTCTCGCTTTTCGTTTCTCGCTGGCTTCCGATGATTTCAGACTTCCAGGACTATCCAAAATGAACTTCGGCTGCTGATTTGCTGGGCGTGGGACAGGGAGTTCTGTAAGGTTCAATAGTCATTATGAATCATCGTGTTTCGGATGCATGCCAGACATGCTGAAGACCTTTCAGAACAAGTTCTTCTGCTTACGTTTAAGGATTGTGGCTTGAAGCTGGGGTGCAATGCGTGTTTGCCCTAGCCAAGCTAGTCTATGGAATTTGTACGACTGCCTTGGCGCTGAGCGCTCGTGAGGTACCTTGTTCACCGTCTTCAGACTTCAAGATCCATGCCCGAAGGATTTAGGTGCTTTGTCGCAGCTAGGTTCCATATAGAGCTCATATGATTGGCATCACAGCACCCGTTACCGATCCGGAAAACGGCTTGGCAACAATCCGCGACACTGGGTTGTTGACCGCACTGACTCGTATGGGCTGCGCGCAGTCGTTTTCCTCCATCCGAGCTCACAGCATGCTTCAGAGATCTTCGTCGAATTTCAGGTCCATTTGCTGTCGTATATGTTTCTCCCTTCAATCCTAAGTCATATACTGGTCAGAGAGATGGACAGATCCATTTGAGGACGTGATCAGCGTGGATGCAAGCTTGACATTCCGAGTGCAAAGACGAAGGGCGAGCGAGCCCTCCGCCTAGGAGCGACAGCAAAGGAACCTGCCAAGCACATATCGGAGTCCTTCGTAAGTTTCCCCTGGTATGGTACAAGGGGCCTGCAGGAGATCAATGATCAGTGTATGTTATCCGAAGGGGCAAAGTTTTGCTTCCCTCGATTCCTTTGGCCAGCCCGGTTACCGGGATGGCGGGTTCCACGGTCAGGGCTCAGGGTTGTTGAGAACTCGATGTGCGGCCTCCCTTCGGCCAATGGCTGCTTGTTGAACTGCACGCTGCCACAGCTCCTCCTCTGCATACTGCTGTAGTGCGCGGCTGAGCCTCAGTGAGGCAAAACTGTGGTCTACAAAACCTGGGGTGCATGAAGCCTTGCCACAGCACTACGGAAGACAAAAGATGCAACCGGGGCATCCAACATCATGGCTTCAAAAACTCGAGCTTCACAACAGTTCAAGCAGATTCACACACCCTGCTTCTACATGTGCAACCATGTCGTGTAGGACAACCCCCCACCACCAGCAAGGTGTTCAAGCTTGAGGCAGGCAGCCGGTAAGCACGAGCAAACTGGCGCATGAGATTCCGGAGAGGTGGTTCCACCCACCAGTTCGGCGGCCGAATGTCGAGGCTCTCCACGAACGAGGTTTCCAACGTGGTACGGTCCATGCTGCCCTCAACACACCCTGTCGGCTGGGCCAGGGCGGCTAGGGCGAAAGACTCCTTACACTAACAGGTTGGACTCAGGTCTGATGTGTTAATGGCAAAGAATCGCAAGCGGCTACCTTGCGGCTGCGCATACATTTGTGTCCGTCGAGACAGATCCTAAATCATTCACATACTGGATATGTGCATACACGTAAACACATAACCCACCAGAATTTTACATACGCGCGGATAAGACAAGATAGATATGAACATAGTTGATATATACACACATGTAGACCTTCACGCCATCAAGAATACAGATTCTGCATAAGTAATGATCATCAGAAACCCTCTGGAGCCTTCGAGCCCAATGCCTTCAGTAGCAGGACATGGTCTCAAAATCGAGGTCGAATGTTTCATGATGCCAACTTTTGGGAGAACCCTTAGCCCTAAACCCTAAACTCTAAACCGGCAGGGCTCAGGGGTTTAGGGAAGGTTGGGGGTGTGCGGAGCTGATGAAGGCTTCCTATCAGCTCCAAGTCCTCTCTGTTTCAAGGATTAGGACTCCCCGGAGGAAGCATGTGCTTTTGGATATATTGCCAGTCTAAAGAAAGCACCCCCATACACTCCAAATCTCTGTTATATATATATATATATATATATATATGGATGGAGAGAGAGGGAGGGAAAGAGAGAGAGAGAGAGAGAGAGAACCCTGCGAGCAATTGGGTTTGGGCCTGGGGGCAATCATGCTGAGCCTGAGACTTCGAACCTAGACCCTCAAACCCTTCATCCACTCATAGCCGCCTCCATCTCTGTCGTTTTCTTCGGTTCCTTCCCATTCGGAGATGCAGGGCTGCATTTCGGCTGTTGGTGGGGGTGCTGCGCTTTTGCTGCGGCACTTAGGATGCAGGCTGGAGGTGGGCTCAAGGGGTTCATACGAAAGCCCACAAACCGCGTGCGCAAATTCAGCTTCCAGGCGTCCTCACCCCATATAATAATCAGGCGCCAAACGACAGGACCTCGATCTGCACACTAGCACCGTTCACTATTGCCAAGAGCTCCCATGTGTTTGCCATGACCAGCGACCGGTCCTAGTAGCGATCCTGCAGTAGTGCCATGAGTTGTGTTTTTTGAAGAAATCATGGTGCTTGAACCCTTCTAACTTGTTTTCTGGCCTTCCCCACCATGAGATCACTCAGCAGCCCTTTGGACGGAACCCGAAGTTGAACACGCCCAAGGCAGCTTCTCAGTAGATGGAGTAAGTTCTGGGGTTTCGGGCTCAGGATCTCAGATCGGAGATCGAACATCCAGAACGAGCACACGTACGTGCCTCCATTCGCAATACACGCATCTCGACACCCTAAGTTCTAAACCCTAAACGTGAAGCCCAGAACAGAACAGCCTAAAGACTTGAGATCCTAGTAATCCTGTCAGCCGAGTTCGCCTAGCTAAGTACCTAGCGTATCTGATTCCAAGCCCCTACGCGAGCGCTAGTTGTGAGTTCTGCCCCCATCCATGGGAGTTCCTGCGAACCCGTTGCCTATGAACTACTGTGCTGTTCGAATAGCCTTTGAAACATATATATATATATACATACATACATATATATATACATATAGATAATAACAACAACCATAATAACTATAATAATAATCGTAATAACACTATAAATATATATACCACAAGATATATAATGAGACCGCCTTCGAGGCTCATTCCGAGGCCCCAAACCTAAAGAAACTTCTTGGCCGAGCCTCCTCTGCGGGGGCTGCAGCTGGGGCTGCAGCTGGGGGAGCCTCGTAGAGTAATATAGGGGCCTTGATCAGTGGAATAGGGGTTCCTCTAAAGGGATCTATAAGGGATACTATAAGGGGCTCTATAATATGGGGGCCTCAATTCTTTAGAATCGGATTTCGGGGGTACACTCACAAAAATAGTATAGGTAACTATTTGAGGCCTCTCGGTACATACTGTACCTTACTTGCAGTTCTTGCAAGAAGGGCCAGGGAAAGGATCCTCCTTAGGGATATCTTACCTAGGGCTGCGAGAGTAGGGCTCGGGGGAAAGGATCCTGCTGTCCAGGCTCTAGCCGGTCTTTTCCGAACCTCTCCTGTACCCTGAAGTGAGAACCCTAACTCCTGTACCCTGAACCCCAAACCCTAGCATCATTCTCACAGGCACGGTGCTTGCTGAGTTCTCTTCCGCATTTTTGTTTCAATCGTGGTAGGGCTCTGGAAAGCCAAGCAGGTGGAAGGTTGTCTGTTCAGCTACGAGGGCACAGAGCTCTGTATGGTGTCTGCAGGGTTCAGGAAAGCAGTTAGCCAACAACTCACTGCATTATCCTCGGCCGAATCATGACGACTCTCGGACTGCTGCCCCACACTGGCTGTGGAAGTAAATGCCAGCTGACCCCAAATCACCGAATCCTTCGTCCCTTGACTACGGCACACCCACGTCTGCCACCCGGTCAGCACATGTACGTCATGCACTAACCCAGGCCCTTCCAAGTCGATGCTGCCCAGGTTTCTGGTGAAGCGGTTCATGGTTAAGCTGCTCTGCAGAATGTGTTGGAGACATAGTTGCCTGACAAGAACCGAATCGAAGCACCCTCCAAGTTGTACGAAACGTTAGCTAAACTCGGCACTCACCAAGGACACCCAGGCTGTAGTATACAGAAATGTCGTTATGTAAGTAGTATTCAGACAAAACAGACAAAACACATATCTATAGGTATATATATATATATATATATATATATATATATATATGTGGATATTTATACATGTTGTATTAATTATCATGTATTGGGTTAAATCATATTATATCATGTTATACTATTATAATATGACAGCCAGCTTGAAGAGTCTGGGTTCTGCACGGCTTCGCCTTCCCCAGCCTTCGCGAGAGCTCTTTCTTCGGGGGATGCGCTTAGTCTGCTTTGTGATTTCGGAATTTCGGTGCTGTAGGCTTCCCTTAACCCCACGTAACCTACCTTTTTAAGGACTTATATAAAGGAATCATATTAAGGAACCTTAAAAAGGTAGGTTCCTCAGGGCCCAGGTCAGGGATCCGATTATAGCCGTAGGAAGAGAAAGACGGAGATCAAAGCACGCTTTTGAAGCTCGGCGGAGAGTGTCATTTAGGGGCCTAAATTGCCAAAACTATTTTGAGGTTGCTTCTTATTACTATAATTATAGTATAATGGGCCCCACAACCCTATTCTAATCATTTAGGCCCCTATGCTAAGGCCTTGGAGCTCCAGTTTGTAATCCTCGAGGCTCGATGCCTTCACAAGGTCCCTCTGAACCTCATGCTGTTCAAACGAAAGGCACGGATGCGATTTTGTGCTCCCCCCGAGATGCCACGGAATCTCAACCATGGTAAGAGCCTGCTGCTATAAAAAAAATGCGTCGTAAGAGTTGCTTGGGTGGCTCTCGCGGCTTCGAAACATGCGCTGTGCTGCCTGGAGCTTTGGAAGCCTACACCGGAGCTTCCGAGGATTTCTCAGTGCCTCTGTCCCCAAGCCCTTCGTGTGCCCCAAGCCCTTTGCATGTAAATCCAAATCCTAAAGTTCCGAGTGCTAGACTTTGTCCCCTATAGGCCTAAACCCTAAACCCTAAACCCTAAGGCCAGACACCAAACCGACCCTTCGCAGGAAGCCTCGGCAGCGGCCGCTGCTTCCTGCACTCAACTTCTTGCGACGCGTGGAGTTCTAGGTGCTCACGTTGCTCTTTTCGACTATTGCATAACTCAAGATTTCAAGTTTTCAGGATCTCATCATGCTCGCATCGTTCCAACTGGTTAGACTTGGTAATCGGGTCGTGGTGTTCCGGCAATGGTCATGAGAAAGCATTCACAAGCTTAAGCTAGCGGCTAACACAAAATCGACAAGCTTTGATGTAGTCGCGGTAGAGCCAGGTTTGCTTCTGCAACCGGACCTGAATAATGATGCATGGGTTTTACGGTCTGATATGATACTACGAGGTTTAGAGGCTCTCGCATGACGAGCAGTATCTTAAAACAGCTGCTTGCCGATTGATGCCACAGAAACAGGAGAGGCAGTACTCCACAGACAAAGCCTTAGCCTATGCTGGAACCCTCCAACAAATCAGGCTCCAAGCCCAAATCCCCGAGCCACAAACCGAAACTCCTGAACCTCTCCATTCCAGAGCTGCAACCCGTTAGATGCCCAATGCTGTTCCACCTGCTGTCTGTCCTTTGCATGCAACATCGGGTCTAGGTGACGGATGAAGTTTCCAAATCCAAGCAGGGATCCGTCCTGTTGCATTGCCTCACGCTGCTGAGCCCACTCGGCCTGTCCCAGGGTCCACCCGAAGCTGACAAAACACCTTCAAACTTGCCTTTCACTGTAGCTTGGTGAGGCTTACTGCAGAAGAATCCCACCGACAAGAAAGTCGGGTCCCGAACTCTCTCTGCAAGCTCTCCAAAATCACATCAACGCTACGCGCAACAAGACTTTGCGGTGCTACGGTGCGCTCAATAGAAATCACAGTTCCAAAGAATCAGTTTCGTAGCAGCTGGTCATCCCACGGTTGACTGCCGTTCCGCTTTCACCGAAGATCACCGCATTTCTCGAGTTGCACTCTTATGTTGTGACACTATTAGAGAGTCCTGCCCATATCCTCGATGTTTCAGAGGGTGACCTTGAAAGTTGATCACCGTGAGGCCGTGCTGTAAAAAGATCTCAGAACAGCAGTTTGGGTCCCGGGCTAGGCCAGTTCCCATCTAAGTCCCCATTCTCCCGGAGCCTGCTTCTCTTGCATCTCCAACCTCAGCAAGGTTTGTTAAAGGGTCGAGTCTCACTGGCTTCGTATTTCGGAATTAAGGCTTTTCAATCAGGCCCCCGGGTCCTGGTCAGGTCACAGCATGTCGAAAAATACACATCATGGAAGGCTGGCTTGCACGTGAAACATGTGTCTGCTGCAGCCTATGGGAGGAGACATGTCCGGGCTGCCCGGTCAAGACAGGTTTGTGGGGTTCTGGATATCCACATCAACGAAAGCCCACAGAAACAGTTTACCCTTTCTGACACACCCGATACCCTCTGAACTGATTCCTCTGGCTACGGACCTGGGACTGTAGAAGAGACCCTTCAATTGGAGATCCTCTGAGTAGCGAGTCCAGTAATGGACCGCCTGGAACAACATAATCCAACAACAAACCCGAAGCGAAACCTAAACTCTGGGCCCGAAAGCCTCCCTTCCCTGGTTCCAAGTTTATTGAGGGTGGAGAGTGCAGGGGCGGGGTGCGAAAGAGCAGAAAGCCCAGGTAGGTCGCAAAAAATGCGAAGCAGCATGTTCCGGACATTCGAGCAAGGAATGCCATGTCCAGGGGGATAGCAACACACCATGCTGTGAAGCACTTAGCTCATTACGTCTTACCGTAAACCAAACTCAATCCGACATCGAAACCGAAACCCCAACCGCTGTAACCCAGATACGAGTATCTACTAAACCTAACTCCCAGCATGAAGCCCCACCCAACCGTAAACTGCGCGCTACACCACAAGACCCAAAGCCCGTGCTTCAAAATCTCAATGATCCAGGCCTTGGAATCCTCAAACACTGAAAATCAACAGCCCGACCTGACAACGAAGATCCGAGCGCAAAGCAACTTCTGTTGCGTGGCGTGCTGGCGCTGGAGCTCGAACTCGGCATCTGCCTTCTCCTCCAAGGAGATGTGGGTGGTTGTCAAAATGATGGTCCCTTCGTGGGTACCCTAAATATTATTCTAATAGGGGCCCAAAAAGGGACCCTAATCCTGACCACCCATGTGTGTTGTGGTCGTTTCTACAGAGAGTCCCAGAGTTGAGGGTCTGAGAATACTTCGGCAGAGGGCTTGGATTGGGGCGGTGGGTGTGCCATGTTAGCGCCATCATAAGGCTACTCAAGCTTCGCATTTCGGCATTTGTGTAAAGGGTGTTGGGTTCTAAGGGTTCGGGATCGAAGTTTAGGTTTGGGAGATCAGGGTTGACGCGCCTCAAGTACCTGCAAAGACCAAGCTGGTCAGGCAGCTCAATCCTGGTGCTAACCCTATAACCAGGAAGCACCTTTAACCACTCCACAACCACGTTCTGAGTGAGAACTTGGGGAACAAGTTCTGCGGTGAAGGTTCGAGGTTTCAGATGATTGAGCCAAGTATTGAGGGCTCGGGACCGCCAAGTACAGACACTAGGCCTCAATTATCCAGAAACCAGAAAACCCAAAATCTCAAAACAACACTCATATGGACTCAGCAAACTTTTTGTGTTTTAAGTGCTGTGACCTCTTTCTCCTGCTGCAGTGGTCGGCCACCCAGTACAGGGTGTACATGAAAAAGACAGGCAACATGGCGAACAGAGCCGCATGGGCGCGAACCAGTAGAAATGGCGTATCTTGTATTCGAGGGTTCAGGGGCCCTTAACCCTAAAGCTCCCCACTCGACAAACAAACGGCTGCAACTTGTTCTCATGATGCTCCCTCCTGCCAGTATGTGTATCATCCCCTCATTCTGGGACACCGACCATCCCGGACCCCTATCAAAGGATCCAGCAAAGCCTGGCAAAACATACATGCACGCATTATTTCTTGCGGCATACCGTTTCGGTGCTTCGTCTTCGGTTCCTTGAACGGTCTAAGTTGAGAACGCCCATGCAGTAAGGGCCAAAAGCGGTGGAATTATGCTCATGATCGAAAAGCTATCCTAAAGAGTGTTCTGGCACCGATCTTGCTTAATCAAGCATTGCTCCAACCTTTTTGGAGAAATGGTGCGACCATAGTGGGGTGTCCTGCTTCTCCTTTCGCAGCTGCTCATAGACATACTCAAGGTAGTCAGAGCTTGGCTGGCCCATCTCAGCGAGCGATTCTTTTGTTCGAGGGCCGAGCTGAAGTTTTTACGGTCGGAGGTGACATGACTAAACTGGCGTATTGAGATGTACTGAGGGTATCGTACCAGCACAAAGAACATTTTGGGGGGAACCCGAGGTGCATAGATTCCCACGGGGCTTCGAGGGACTTGCTGCGACGTTGACAGGCATTCTGAGCAGAGGGAGCCGGACGAGCAACGAGGCAAGCCGGATACGAAAGAGAACAGATGAGGAGGTACACAGTTAGATAAGACTTGCTAGCGATTCAGGATTCAACACAACTATCTCAAGCCCTGCATGCGATCCCCAAAGCCCCCACCTACTAGAATCTGAATTGGTTCTTGCACGAAACCAGCTCCCAATACGACTGCGTACTGTCTTCAAAATATCGAAGTAATAGGCCGTTGCCTCATCTACGTTGGTCCCTGCAGGGCCTAAAACCCATGCATTCAGACGCCATACGCTGCAGGGCACCAGATCATTCCCAGGCTCTCTACAGTCCGGTAAGTGAAAATCCTTTCGTAAGTTGCGCTATAGTGGCTAAACTCCAAACCCCAACCCGCGAACCCCAAACCCTGAAGCCCCAAAATGTTGAGTCAACGCTGGGTCTCCGGACCATGACCTTTGCGACGCGCTTGAAGTGGGGAAGCCGAAATCGAACGACGGACTGACCATTGGGATGCCAGGGGGGGGTTCTGGATTTGGGATCTAAGGCCATCAGCGTCTTAGTGTTTGGGTCCCAAACAGAAGATCTAAAGAGCTCCTCAAAGGAGACAAGGTATCTCCGGCTTTCCGACTTGCACTCAGGTCTCGAACCTTTTCCTGGGCTGCGCCCTGTATGTCCAAGTACCCAATAATCAATTACGTACTTTCCTACTTAGCTACTAACCCATATTCATGCCATGCTGAATCCAACTTCTTGAGTCCGTTGGACCCTTCCGGATAGGTTTCTGAGGTGTCTTAACCTTCCCACCACCAAACCTTTGTTCTCATGGCCTGCTTTCGCTCCTCCTTGAGCAAGTTGTTGCGTACCTGGCGCATCTCATCGGTTCGCTGCAGCCCAGTAATCCTGCACCCTACACCGTAGCCCCTGCAGCAACATGTAACTTCAATACCGGCTTGCTTTACCGGCTCGTTGGGGGGCGAAAGGGCATAAAAGGTGAATACAGGGGCCTTAAAAGATCCGAAAACGAAAGCCTCTCTACCAACACGTCCTCTCCCCCCACTCGAGACTCATATCGCTTGCTGTCGACGATCAGAGATTTTTGGCTTAGGACGGTCTCGTGCTTCGGTCTTTGGGTGAGGTGCGTTTTGTTTTTGACCGATGTCGAGACTGACGAACCCATCATAACAGGATAGAGGTGATTGTGTTAGGCTCTGGGACTTTTGTATTGTAATGAATCTAATGTTGTAGTAGCCTGTCAGATCCTGTAAGCACTGTGTTGGGCTCTGGGTTTTCATGAACCCTGGGCGCCGATGACGATGATGGTGGAAAAACCCATCATCAGCAACCAGCTGAGACCCGGTTGACAATTGGGGCCTTTCTTTGGACAGTCTATTTTGTGGCTGCGGTCCTAGAACACAGAAACAGGTCACGGAAAAGGAACTACATCCGAGGGGTCTCCTTCAACCTGCATCCTGTGGCCTGGCCCATCCTGGCCCAGCAAGCGAAGCCGAGATTGCAATTGGATTAGGCCACTATCTTCCTATCTGGGTCTCTTCAACTTGTGAGCACCAATACAACCCTAAACCCCTGAACCCTAAACCGGGGGAAGGGGTTCATATCATCAGGATCCTAAGTACTTTGCAGCATCTCCCAAACTCGTCGATGTAGTTTAGGAACTTGGTCTATCATGGCCTCCAAGAACAAAATGTCTCGCTGCTGCGTCGCAGCTGCCGCTTGGAGAATTTGCTTCACCTTCGGACAACTGATGCCTTACTGTGACGTAGGTCCGTAATAATGAGAATGAGATTATGGGGTAGAGTATTGTCTAGATAAAGGTCTGCACAGGGACGGCAAGTAATGCGACATGTTATCCAGGCCTCTAGTTTATATTGTGCGGGTAGTGATCATCAGGTTCAGGGTTCGGATCATGTACACACCATGAGCAACAAAAGCCCCTTTCTCTGAGGGCTTATAGGAGTCAGGGGTTCATTCATCCGGCAAGCAAAATCGTTTCCAGGAGGCTCTTCCTAAACTCAACAGGAACTCGCCTCTGCAAAGCCCAAACACCGGTCCAACCAATAAGAGGGCCTTAATGCTGAGACTCATCAGGCATTGCGGGCATATTTTGCTGTAATTCGTTTAAAGAACCCAACGAAATTCGATTCAAATTCTTATCCAGGCCCCCGTACTAGGATTTAAGGTTTCAGTGTTATGCAAAAGCAGAGCCAACCTTCAAGCAGCACTTTCTGATGCTGGTCCAATGTCCAAGCAGCTGGGCAAACGACAAGCGACTGCAATGCCAGGTGGACCCTAAAACCTACAAACTAGGATTTTTCCCTCCTACAAATTAGGGGTTAAGAATTTTAGGGGCTTACTGAGCTCTTCGTATCTTCGGGCTCGAGGATGAAACACGATTGATAACCAACGCCTTGGCTCTGAAATTTCGCAAACGCCTGTGAAAACCATCTCTCTTTGTCCGTAAAGAGGACCTCACATTGGAACATGCCCAAGCCCACCAACGAAATACACTGTATGGTTTTGGGGTGCGAGGTGTGGCAAGGAACCTGGCGTGCTCATTGCAAGACCACCTAATACTGCGCATGTGCTTCAGCAACCATGAGTTTACATGCATTTGCCAGTGATGGGATCTGCTTGACTTGCGCGAATTGGAGAACGACGGCTTTAGTCAACAAGAATAACGTCGGGTTTTGGTCGGAGTCTTCGTCCAGTCCTGCTTAAGGAGCCTGAACTTATTACCAAAGCGTAGCTTTTCTTACCTGACAGCTTCGAAGAATACACCCTTCTTCGAATCCAGAACTCCGACCTCGCATCAGAAACGAGGCGCAAACTCAAATTGATCCTAAAACCCTACCTAAACCCTAAACCCCTAAACCCTAAACCCTAGACCCTAAACCCTAAATCCAGACCCTCTCAACATTGCTCACTACGCCGGTCACAACTCTCAGAGCAGGTCTTGCGACATACTGCATTATATGCGAGTTTCCGAAAATAAGGGGTACCTTATTTTGGGGTCCTTATTATAAGGATCCTACTATTTAGGGTACTATACTAGGGTCCCTATTTTCGGAAACCCCCATATCGATACCGAGTTTTTAAAGGCGGTGTTCACCAGTTGTTGAAGCCTGCTTGTTACAGAAAGGTCTTCAATTGAGGCTGGGAGTTTGGATTACAGTGGAAAGATAAGCACAAAACAGTCTTCACCATGTACTTTTCGCGAATTTGGCATCCTTACACTTTATCTGGACCCAAGAGAAAGAACAGAGGTTCTCTAAGTTCTGCGGAATTCAGGTCGGTGGGAAGTTCGGGAAAGTTGCTGAAGCACGTGCTATGAATGTGGCGTGGGTTCACTTCCGAGAGGCTCGACAGCGTGGAGTGGGCGTCGTCTGTAATGATCCGGCTGTTAGGGTTTAGAGTCTAAGAGGCCGTGTAGGGTGGCTTTTCTAGGATCTTTCGTGCTGTTCAGCGTTTCACTTCTCATCAGCACGAGAATGCTTACGGCTTCCTTAAGTCAACATTGACTATCCCGGCTAGGGCTATGCTCTGGGATTGCAGGGTTTGTGTCCAGGGCCCTGCGGGCCCCGAACTCTCACTTGACCCTAGGCTTTATTGCAGCAGATGCACTCGGAGAATTTCTGGGATTTTTGGACTCTCGCAACTCGGATTTAAGGCTTTCGGGATTACGGCTTTAGCATCCGTTTCCTTGGCCCGGCGCCTTGACGTCTGTGCGTGATCTTATGCGTGGAAGCCAGTACTTTACTTATAGGCTCCATAGTAGTTCCGTTTTGTGGCTCACATGTAGAATCGTATAAGGCAATCCCAAACAGGAACTACTATGGAGCCTATGGGTACAGCAGCGGGAACCGCATTTCAAGCAATTTTTTGCACACAACCCCTCTCTGCTGACGGCCTCGGAGTGAAATGGGCCGTGCGGAGCATCAAGATTCCGCGCTGGTGCCAAGCTTCACGTTTGGGGCTACAAGCCGACATCGTATCGTACCCGCCTCGATACAGAAAACCCTCAACCAAAAAACCCTGAATCCCTAAACTCAACAACGATCCTGGGCAGCCGTGTCCTCAACCTTATCGGTCCCCATCAACGCAAGCCCTCCAGATAGTCTGGACAGAATATGACACTATGAAAATGTTTGGCTTGTACGAGCGGCGCCTTACACAATTCTGGTGCCTAGTCACAACCACCACTCAGTATGACCCCGAATTACATCCTAAACGATCCGGGCTGAGGGTCAGATATTTCTCACTTCCGTACCGACCAATGGCTTCCGATGTCAGCGCCGGTCATCTCACTGCTCGGTGTGGGTGGAACTGCGCACGCTCCCCCGCTTCCTGCATCGCTTCTTGTCCTGCATTAACGGGAGTCCTTTGAATTGACTGGGTCTCTGCTGCAGTATGAATCACTTTTTTTACTCGTCGCCCAGATACCCTCGGAAACGTCCGAAACCCTGAGATTTAGCAGAGCAAACGATGTACACAAAAACTTTGCATCCCAGAAACTACCATCCTCTTCCAAGTCACAAACTCAATCACTCGAACCCTTACAGTATTCACTTAGGACTGGCAACAGCCAAGACCCAGCGGAGATCACGCAGAAAAATACCGCGAAGCAAACGACAGAGCCCACGGGAACATGATTTCATGTACGCGAGGGCCTTTCACTGCTTTGTTTATTCTCTTGCGACTGTCAGCACCAACCCAAGGGTCGGGGTTAAGAGGGCTTAAGCTGTGAGGGTTTTTTTTCCTTCTTTCCGAAACCCTTGCCTAAACCACAACCCCTCAACCT